AAGAAAGAAAGAAAGAAAGAAAGAAAGAAAGAAAGAAAGAAAGAAAGAAAGAAAGAAAGAAAGAAAGAAAGAAAGAAAGAAAGAAAGAAAAGAAAGCCCATCTTCATTCCTAGGTGTGATTTCCATGATCCCAAGCAAGATTCTTGACTGATTATTTTTCCCCCGTGTTGATTCACATTTGGCTGAACTGACTTGATTGGCTCTTTTGAATTTGGAAAGACACTTCTTCACTGACCCAAATAATCTGTTTGTTGATTTGACTCGAACTAATCTATTGACTGAATTTCTTGCCCTTGTTTTCAAGTGGAATGCTAATTGTCCAGCCTCGGTCTGTGTTTGTAAGAGGTTTGTAAGTGTGGGTTCATTAGCCTGAGACCATTTTTCTGGAAGGCCTGTGAGGTTACAGTGCTTCAGGAGTGGAGAAAATGAATAGCTTGGGTGATGCCCAGTGTAAATCTCATACTAGAGAGAATCTTGTGGCCAACAGAAGTCTCGCTGACTAAGAGGTTTTCCAAAAGCAGATGTAGAAGGCTCCTATCTGTCTAACTCCAATGTTTACTCCTACTACCCTGTGGTCCATGGTGTCTTTTTAAACTTGCTAACTAAAATGCCACCCTGCTTTTCCTTAGAACTTTGGAAATGGACCTTATTCCATTTCATTATTTTACAAATAATGTGTGAATTCTACTGTACTTAGCATAACCCACACATGCCAACTGAGTGTGTGTTTCATGGTCAACTTTGTACACCATCTGTGATTATAGGGTGCCTCTGACACAGACTTGAGGACACACTACTTATGTGGCTGCCTACTACTGTCAGATTCAGTTTAACCAGCACTAACCCTTGCTTTGTGCTTCAGGTGATAAAGAGAGGAGACCCATGTAGTGGTCTAGCGCCCTCTTGTGGCTTTCAAACTGGGAGTTTTGAGCTTTGGAGCTACTAATGGAACCACAGATTTCAAAATGCTGCTATGGAGCACACGCGTACAATGTCTGCCTTCTTCCGTTAAGAATTGAACAATGCTCTTGTAAAGCTTACTCACTGGTGGTAAATCCACTGTACTCTGAGTCATGAAGGACCCTTTGGAGTGGAGAGATCAGCTAGGTGTGTGAGTTCAATAGGGACTTTTGAAACAAATGCACTCTACATACACAGTGTAAGCCAAATACATGCTCAAAATCTCTTCACCAACTTGATGCTAGCTTCCGTTTTTTCCATTCACTCTTACCTGAACCCACTCATTCAATTACTCTCAGTCTGACTTGGTTTCAAGTGATTTCACATATTTAATCAGAAAGCAAGAGAGTTAGGATAATACAACACGTGGTCTCAAAACTTGAAAGCAATCATCATGTGAACAAATCCTGAATGGCTCCAGCGAGGCACAAATGAATGTTAGAGTTGTTGGTTTACTACAAAGAAATGTGTGTTAATGGTCACTGTTATATAATAGTAGGGCTTCTGGTCCTTTAATAGTCCAAAAAGGATGGATTGTTTCTGGTACGTATATAGTACAGAAGCATTTTTTTTTTCCTTTGGAATAAGTGATCCTTAATAAAATGACTAAATTGTTGGTATCAATGGGCTACCACAAGTTTATCTAAGAAAGAGCAGCTTTCTTTTACTGATCAAATAATTCCAGTAGTTAGGTGTTCAGTTTAGACCCTTTCCAGTCATTGTACATTCATAACGATCATAACCATCTCTGGGAAACCATCATGTGTGTGCTTGTGTGCAGGTATATGTGTGAGGCTGCATGGCATATGCAAATCCATTTTCATAACTTTTCTGCTTCTGGTTTTCTAGACTGTAATAGTAACGTTGGCATAATCTGTCTTCCCTGATCGTCTATCAGCTAACTGCTTTTCATTTCAGTGAACCTTTTACACTTCCATGCCTAGTTGCAAATGATGTCAGCTCACACACTGAAATGTTATGTACATTTGCTTAATTCTCATTATATGGCACAAAATGAGCATAGGATCACGTTGACTAAAATCTGTTACTCACAGCACTAAGAAATGAAGAGTCAAAAAACAAAATTTGAGAAGAGCATTTGTGAAAAGTAAGAGCCTTGTTTTTTTACTCTCAGGTTGTAGGGACAATGAGATTGGCTTCAACTTAAGGGGGGAGGCAGTGGAGATGACATATGTCACTTTCCAGTTTGATCTTACTCTTTTCGAGAAGTGGAATGACATCAAAGGTAGGAATTGACCTGGGTTTTCTTGATACTTTTTCAGCATGACGGTTTCTTTTTTCTTCCTTATGTGTGTGTGTGTGTGTGTGTGTGTGTGTGTGTGTGTGTGTGTGTGTAAACTCTTATTTTAAACCTTAGAAGGAAACAGCTGATTCAGCAGGACTCATGAGTGTAGCAGGAATCTTAAAAGTTCTTATTAATAAAATGAAATGTGAGGCCACTTATTGGGGTGAATACTGGAAGGTCAGAGAGACAGAACAAGCCACAGCTAACCTCACCTGGCCAACTTCTCAGCTGACCTTGTTTCCTCAGACTGGAAGCCTCTGTGTCCTCATATCTGAATGGTTCTCAGCTGAACTGTGCTGCTCAAAACCTAAAAGCTTAACCAGCCAAATGCTTAACCAGCCAAATGCTTCTAGTTTCTGGTCTTCATGCCTTATATATCTTTGGTTTTGCCATCACTCCCTGGGATTAAAGGCTCACTTCTTGGGATTATAGGCATGTGTCACCATGCCTGGCTGTTTCCAGTGTGGCCTGGAACTCACAGAGATCCAGAGGGATTTCTACCTCTAGAGTGCTAGGATTAAAGGTGTGAGTGCCACCATTTTCTAGCCTTTGTATCTAGTGGCTGTTCTGTCTCTGACCCCAGATAAGTTTATTAGGGTGCACAATATTTTGGGGAACACAATACCACCACACATGAGGGCCCAAACTAATCTAAAACTTGAAACCACTTAGCCCTGACTTTTGGACTTATAGTTTACTGAGGGACTTGGGAGCCTGTTTCTTCTGCTTTCTCTCTTCACAAAAAGCTGCACTACACTCACTCCATTCAGACTGGGGTGGGATCGTGGTGAGTGTCTTCTTTTGGTAAAAGCTGATTCATCCTTACAAGGCTGACAGTTGGATTTCAGGAAATGCTGGTTTGAATTTTGCTCATTTTCCTCACAGTAGTTCACCTACCTTTAACTTGGCAGAGGAATCAATAGCCCATGTCATAGACCTTTGCTGACAGCCTTGGGCTATAACGGAAGAATTCTTCCTCCATTTCCTCTCTATGGGAAAGTCAAACAGGATTGTCACCAACCTGTGAAATAAACCACCCACCTGGTCATGGAACCATTTTACAGCCAGGAACTACAGCCCTATTCAGCGGCGCCATATGGGAAGCAGGAAGTGCCTTTCTCCAGATGGGTCTGTCACACATTAATAGGAGAAATTTGCTCTCTGTCTCAGACAAATGCCTGGACTTTCTTGAAACACATGAGAAGATGAGCTAGGCTTAACATGCTAGGGAACTGAATATGGACTCTGTACGATGAATCAAAACTCAGACTAAGTTGGATCATACCATCCCTGCATCACTGGAGAGATGTGGAATGTTAGTTTCTTTAAAGAGAAAAATACCTCCAAGTTCTAAAGAGAGCACAGGTTTTAACTGCCTTCCTGTGGAAGAGCCACAGAATACAAAATGTCTGAACAGGATAGAGTCTTAGAAATCACCTCTCAACACACACACACACACACACACACACACACACACACACACACACACACACACACACATGCACACCCTCATTTTCCATGTGAAAACTGAACTCTCAAGAGATAGTGATGTATTGGCGAGCACTCAGGAGTTTTGCAGCCTGGAGCATTGGATCCTGATCTCTTCCCTGTTCCTTCCCTCTGCTGTTTCCCCTAAAGCTCCCTTACAATGTATTTTCCACTGTATCATTGCTAGGTGTCACATCTATTGCTCACATATTCAGTGAGCAAATCATTAGGATTTCCTTGCTGTCTTTCCCCTCGGTGATAAACTTACATCCATGTCCTAACTCTTCTTTAGCCACACAGATCTTTATTCACCACTCTGAAGTTAGAATATGGGGCATGGAGACAGAGTCTCAGATAGGCAGCAAAGACTTGCATCCTGCTCCCTAATTCTTCATCAAATGATATAGGAAACATTTTTTTTAATTAACAATTGAGAGAACAGGTTCTAAAGCAAAGGATCTACATTTGCTCCTTTGTTGCCCTATATGTATGAAACATTTATATGTCTCCTGGTCCCCTGACTCTCCAGATCTTTCTATTCCTCTTCTCTTAGTGTCCCCAAGCATTACATGTAAGGATTGCATTGTAGCGTTACCAGCTGGGGCTAGATACCCCACAATCACTCGATCTCTGCATTCCAAACACTCGTGGATCTCTGCAGATTCCTCCATCTCCTACAAAAAGAAGCTTTTTGGATGAGGGATGAGAGCTGCACTTATCTGTGGGTATAAGTACTTAGAATGCAGCTAAAGTATATTGATTTAGGAAAGTAACAGGAATAGATTCTCCTCTGTGGAGACCTCTCCAGCCATAGGTAGTTGAATGGCTGTATAGTCCCGGACATGAATTCTGTCCTATTGAGCAGACCTTAAGTCCAATTAGACAATTGTTGATTACTGTGGAGATGAAAGTGCCACTATTGTACTATTGGGAACATCTTGTAGGACCAACTGTTGCTATGGTTCCTGGGCTTCCTAGCCTGGTGGACTAATTTCTTCCTCACATAGCACATTCAGATGCTATAAGAGTCTCAAAAACAAGAAACGTTAAGTCGAGGAGGTAGATACACAGCCACCATTGCTGTTCTCCTCTAGAAAACAACAGAATTTTCGAAAGGGTCTTTTGGATGGGGTTTGTGTATCTTTCTATGGAAACAGAGACTGTGAGCCGGGACATGCTCCTGCAGCAGTGTCTGAGAGAGAAGGTAGCTTGCATTATCAAAGCCTCTGATTTGATTATAATTGGCTATTTGTGAAAGCCTAAGCTGCACTTTCGTCATGGCATTGAGATAATAGTTACCTGCTTCTCAGGACTGTGACCACTCAGAATATGTCAAGGCTTACTTCTTTTTTCTTTCGAGAATAATTAAAGCTCAGTGGTTGCTCCATTGAGACCTTTTCCTTATTAGAGATGCTCCACAACATGATTTTTAGAAAGCCTGGACTCTGTGGATTATCCAAAAATTACATTATCAAGTTGTTTCCACGGATCAAGAATTCCTACAGTAAGTCATGTAAGATTAACTGAAGCAGGAGGAAGCAGGAGGAAGGCTATGAAGGGAGGGAAGAGAACCATGGGAGTGGAAGTTAATATGCTATCGACAAGAGTCAAAGCTACATGCTGACAAACGTGTGTGTGGTCTATATGTGGTGTGTGTGTGTGTGTGTGTGTGTGTATGTGTATGTATGTTTAGTATATATGTGTGTGTGGTATATGTATGTATGTGTGTATGTTTAGTATATATGGTATGTGTGTATGTTTAGTATATATGTGTGTATGTGTGTGTGTGTGTAGTGTGTATGTGTGTGTGGTATGTATGGTCTGTTTGTGTGTGAGAGGTATGTGTGTGTAGTCTCTGTGTGTATGTGTATGTGTGGTGTGTGTGTGTGTGTGTGTGTGTGGTGTATATGTGGTATGTGTGTATGTTTAGTATACATGTATGTGTGTAGTGTTTGTAAGTGTGTGTGTGTGTGTGTGTGTGTGTGTGTGTGTGTGTGTGTGTGTGTGACAGAACCCACATGCTACAGTATGAGCGTGAAAGTCAGAGAGCAGTTTTGGAGTTGGTTTTCATCCTCCACTCTGGGCTCCAGGGATCAAATCCAGTTGTCCAGGCATTGCTTTTACCCACTGAGCCATCCTACCAGCCCATCACATCACCGGTCCTGTGTGCACTCACCTGTGTTACATTTGGCAGAGGAATTTAAACAGCTGAAGTGGACCGAGGGTTTGGTGGCATCCATGGTACTTGTATTAGCAGGATGTGGCAGTGGTGGAGACAGAGCCTTCACTCCAGGGGGACTTTTGTTTAGAAAGTCACAACAGTCCCTCATCGGAATTCTGTCTTGGAAGAAGAGTGATAAAATTCCAGTACCTGGTTTTCCAAGTTACGTCTGCCACTGTCCCTTCTCCTCTGGGGCTTAGGAAGGTTAAGAGAGAGACTCTTTGTAAGGCCACACACCTCATTCCACACTGCAATGTGTATCTGGGGCCGTCTGCCCTGCTGTCCACAAAGAAAACAGTGTGGCAATCCGTGGCCAAAAAAGATCCATGAACTGCGTCAGGGTGAGTAGATAGCTCACAGCAGGGGAGGAATGGAAAGACAGCTTGTCTGGAATCCAGCTTTTAAACATATCCTGTCCCGTCCAAAAAATACAGGGAAGCATGGAGAAACACCGTCCAAAATAGTATTTCTCGAATGTCTAATTGCATAGAGATCAAACACAGACTGAAGGCACAGAACATCAACTATCTATCTTATGCTCTTGAGTCCTGAGAGTTACGTGATGCCATTCTTTTTTTTTTTTTTTTTTTTTTTTGCCATGACTGTGCCTCCGAGTGCCTTTCAAGCAGGACACACTGACACATGTAAAAGCAGGAAAGCACGAACTGTCACACCAGCTCCACCTCATCCCATCTGTGACAACTCTTGCGTGCCACCTACCCTCCCAGAGCTCATCTCATTTATTTAGAAAAACAGCGCCACCCATCTTGCAGGATGTTTCTGAGGAGCAAATGACATGGAGGGTTTGGCAGCAGCATCTGGAACACTTTCGGAGACTATGTGACAGAGCAGCCAGCTGAGGTCTCAGAAGTGATTTTCAAAGGCAGGGAGGGTACTTTCCCTCCACTTTCCACACTTACAGATTTCATTTGTTCACACACTTGTTCATTGTAAGTGAATTCACTTTAGAAAGAAAAACCCTGAATGTAATAGTCAGAAATTAAGACTCAGACACTTACCAGACACTACAGGATACAACTTGTCCCCTCTCCCAATCCTTCAACGTGGCTTTTTGGAACACTGAACATTGTTATTATATTATATATATTATATTATATATATTATATTAACTATACTCTTCATCATAGACACTTCTCATTTGAAATAGCTCCTGATTTACCACAGTGCAGAATGGCATCATAGCTTTCTCACTATTTTAGCTTTTCTAATCAAAAAAATTCTGGAACAAGTGTTCAGTTTAATTAAACAAGTAATTTTAACAACGAAATTGCTAACTGTGTGAGGTAATAGACTAATTAGTTTATTTACCATTTCATGATTTGTATATGTATCTGAATATTATGGTGCATTATGAATAGATACATAATTTTATTTATCAATGAATAGTAATTTTCTTCATTCATTTACTCTTCTAAAAATGAAGGAAGTAATAGCACATATCTCACAGGATTGTCAGTTTTGAAAGATGTGATGTGTATAACATAGTCTTTATAGGGACCACAGTGCTTTGCAGGAGACACATCCACATTTGGCTCATTTGAGTTGCCATAAAACTAAGGCTCAAAAGCAAATCTAAACCTAACATTGTGTGCTTTGTCTGATGCTCAAGGCTTATCTTTAATTTTCTATTTTTTTATTTTTTTAATATGAAAAAAAATCTTGTCAACAAAAACATTTTCAATAAAATTTTATTTGTTTCCATGGTGAATCTAAATTCTACCAAGGTAACTGTCCAGATTTCCCATCGCAGAAAGCTATTTCATATTCCATGTTAACTTCTATCATGTGTCCTGAATCCCTGCTGTATGTATCAAAGTCCTGGGGTGTTTGGGGGATTTCTGCCTTCTCTTTCACGGTCTTGTATATTTTCACTTGTTCCAAGCGTACTCTTAGTTTACATCATTTGTTTCTAATTGCTGATCTAGATATCAGTTTAACTTTGCTTTACATTTTTTGTTATTTTTTAAAGGTACTGAATTATGACAACAAAATAGCCGAAGCTGTTCTACACACTGAAGCTGTCAAGGAAACAGTGAAGTCAGGAACAGAAGTGCCCATGGGCATGCGTATAGAACAGCGCATCAAATCAAGCACCATGCTGAAAGGTTAGCTGAAAAGATCTGAGGAAGTCAATGTCCCTTTCTTCCCATTTAAAGGTGAAGACAAACACACTTCCATATATGAAAATATGGTTTGTATAACAAGTTACTCAAAATGTACTTGGACATGTGTACAAACACTCATACACAATCAGCAGGGTAGATGTAGCATTTATCTTGTATGTGGGTACAAACACACACAATCAGTGAGGTAGGTGTAACAGTTAATTTGGACCTGTATACACACCACACACACACACTGGCCATTCTTCTCCGGGGGACTATTCTGTCTGACCTTTCTGGTGTCAATCCCATGTCTCTTATGGAGCAGTGTCTTATTACTCTGACCCTTGGTCAACTCCACACAAGTTTATCATCTGTGTGGTTGATGTGAGACAGGCACACTTGGACGGTAACTATTCATCTTTCCTCTCAAATTGTAGTCCTTTTGGAGACAAGGATTGTCTTTTACAATTTTATATCCCCCAAAGCCACTACCATGCTGCCTGACATAACAGTTGTTTATGCAAATAATAATTCATTTAGCAGATCCTGATTGAGCCGAGATGTAGCACTCTAAAACAATTCTTTTTATTTTAAGTGGTTTGAGAAAGATACATTGCTGTGGGATGGTCTGTATGTCAAATTGCTCTCATTGGTCAATAAATAAAACACTGGTTGGCCAGTGGCCAGGCAGGAAGTAGGTGGGACAAGGAG